GCTTCTAGTGTAGACTAGCCCTGAGCTGTGATAAGCTAATGACCAGTGTGTGTGACCTTTGGTTGCTGAGGTGTGAGTGTGTATTACACTTCCTGGTCTGAGTGTGTTGTTCTAGCTAAACGGGTCTGCTGGAAAAACAAGCAGGGAAAAAATCAATGGCTCTAGCTAAGCACCCTCCTGGCAAACATTGGCTGAACAATTACAGGCCAATGGCATATTCCCAGCCCCAGGCAGAAGTGACATGGCTGCTTTGCCAGGCTGAGAACTAACTGATCAGAGGGCTCTGAACAGTTAAAATCCCCTCTCTGGAGAGCAGGCAGGTGTCAGCTCTCAGAGGACAGGCTGGCACAGACAAGCTCTCATGAAGGCGCGTGAAGCAGTTGGGCCTTTTGCAGAGCCAGGACATGGTAAGTATTCGGGGGAGGCAGGCATCCCAAGAGAATAGACATATAGGCACTGAGCCAGAGTCGGGTGCTGATCCTGAGTCAGGCCTGCTGAGCTAATCATGGCTAGCACCAGGGCACTGCAGGCCAGGGCCTGGCAAGGTTGGCTAATTTGCTCCTTGTGCTTGATCCAGGCCCCATCTGGAAACACCCTACTCTGGAAATGGGGTAATGGTGAATGGATGAGCCAAGCTCTCAGCCTCGGTGGGTGGCCAGGGGTTTTTCCCCCACAGCGAGGGAGTGCTGTGGGGCCGAGGAGAGGAAGCAGGGAGGCAGTGAGCCTATGCAAAGCCCCTCATGCACATAGTCCTCTCCCTGATTCCGAGGACCCTGCGGACACAACCCATGGGGAAGAATCCAGCAGGCACAGCACCCGGGTTTTCACACTTTTATTGTAAAGCTTTGGGAAGGGCTAATTACAATGGAGTTTGTCATCTGACAGCTCAGCAAACAAACAGAAGGGGAGAGAACAGAAAGGGGCTCACAAGGTGTCATGCTCACTGCTCCGAACAGAAAGAATTACAAGGGAATCAATTGTGCTCACAGTGCCTGGGAAAAACCAAACCCAAGGCCCAAAGCCTTCCCCGCACAGGGAAATGCATCACACGTTGAGAGCAATACAACCTTAGCAATAGGCGCTGCCTTAGACATAGGTCACCATCTGAAAAATAGCTGGGTACTTTCCTCTGACATAGGATTTCTCCTTTAGAAAAGCTACACCTGCATGTACATAAAACTGTACAAAAAACAAGGCATCACAAGCAAGGAAATGAAATCTCGTATAAATAGAACCAACACTGAAGAGCTACAATGGGGTCGCTTGGATCCTTCCCACACAGCCCGACTGCTCCCTGGCTCCCACCTTTGGTTTTACCCCCTGGCTTGTCCTAGTGCAGTGTTAAATACAGTGAACCCCCCTCCCTCCCTGAGGGGCATCTGTAACCCCCCACCCCCCTTCACTGTGCTTGTCTAGACCGGAGCCTGTGGGGAGCCTTCCCTCCCCCATGTGCAGAGGCTTTATCCTTCTGGCTTATCTTTGTGCAAATGAGCTTCTCCCTGCCAGCACCAGCACCCTCTCCCCATGGCAAATCCCCCGCACCACCTCCACCCTCATGCTGGGGCTGACCCCAGAACCCCTCCCCCCATGGCCAATCCCAGCACCGTCTCCACCCTCATCCTGGGGCTGATCCCAGAACCCCTCCCCCCTTGGCTGATCCCTAGCACCACCTCCACCCTCACCCTGGGACTGATCCCAGAACCGCTCCCACCCTTGGGTGATCCCAGCACCACCTCCACCCCTACCCCTGGGCCAATCCCCAGCACCACCTACACACTCACCCTGGGCCAATCCCAGCACCACCTCATCCCTCACATGTGGGCTGATCCCAGCACCACCTCTGCCCTCCCTGCTGAGGCAGATTCCCCCCTCAGTCCCAAACCAAAGGGTCTGAGAAGCACAAATGGCCGTGTATGCAGGCTGAGTGAGCTGCTGTGCTGCCTTAGGCAGCTCCTGAACCAAACCAAAGGGCTGTGAGCCTCAGGGTTCCCTGAGTGACCCAAGCAGCGAGTAGGGGAGCCATCCTGCAGACCAGGCCATGGGGAGAGCCAGGGCCCACTCTTTCCCTCTTGGAAGCAGTGCCCCTCACCTGTGTCGGTCATATAGCTCTCCTGGGGAGCCTGCCCCAGAGGGATGCTGCCCCAGACCCGAGCCTGGGTGTGGGAGCGAGCATCTGAGCTGGCAGAGGAATCAAGGATCCTGGCCTAGATGGCCAAATTGCACGTTCTGCCCAGTTAGGCCCTGAAACTAGAACTACAATAAAAACATATTCAGGAAAGTGACGTGCTCAGGCAGCCAGGCCAGGGGGAACACGGGCCCCACAGCACTGCCAGCAGAGCAGAACAGGTATGCCTGGACGGACACCCACCTGGAGGTGATGTCCACCACAGAGACCCACTGGACCAGTGCCCTCCAAGCAGGGGAGCTGTGACAGGAGAGGTGGGAAGGGGGGGTCCTGACTCCCTTAAGCGACACCTCTAGATGTATGAACTGTGGTGGCACAGTCCCCCATCACATCACCTGGGAGAGGGTGACACAAGAACAGGGAGCTGGGGGAGCGGGCAGGGCAGGGCAGGGCAGCTAGGAGCCTCAGTCTCTGCGGCCCTTCCACAGGCCTTGTCAGTTCTATGCCTTTTCGGCCTTGAGCTCCTTGGGCAGACCTGGTTCAGCTTGTGTCCATCAGGCCACACAGCCCTGAGGAAGCTACGCCATGAAGTTGGCCATATCCCATCACCACTGCCAGAGCAAAGGGTCGGGAGCTACTCAGCAAGGGACTGAACACCAGGAGGCAAGGGAGGGCAAGTTCCATTGCCCCGAACCTCCCGAGACTCACTGCAGGAATTGCAGGCCTCTGGGCCTGATGGGATGGGGCTGCAAATCCCTCTCCCTGCAGGAAGCACCCAGTGTTGAACAAGTCCTGCCTAGCCACCCACAGGCACGAGAGAGGAAAGGCTGCCCTGCCAGGAGACACAAAATGTTCCCACCCCCTCCCCCTATGTTCAAAGGCCAAGCATGGACCAAAGATAGGAAAGGGGATGTTATCCTGAAGCTGCCATTGGCCTCACTGCCCAAGGAAGAGCTGAGTGATGAAGAGTGCTGAGGAGATAGGAAGGGAAGAACAATGGGGCATCTCACCCCCCTCCTAGCACCCCTACTGGATGAGGAGAGGAAAGGAGGTATCCTAGAGAGAATGAGGCATGACTCACCCTCACCTTGCTCCAGGCGGGACAGCCCAAGTGTCTGGAGCAGGGGGTCAGGCCAGAGCTGGAACAATTGAGAATGGGACAGAAACCAAGTCACCAAAACAGCTCCAAGGCCTCCAAGAGAGCAAGAGAGTTCAAGCAGAGCCAGCAGAAGCTCCTGTGTCCCACCAGGGCCACCCCTTTGATCCACGCCCTGCTCGGGCTGGCCAAGCCACGGGCCATTCCTATGAGCACCTGTTCAAGCTGACGGCAGCCATCCTTCCTCTCTACCCTGCACAGTGTCTCCCTGGATTTGGTACCCTGTGAAGGGGAGCTCAGATGCTGCTGGCATCTGGCACGGCATTAGGGTGCCACCCCAGGGAGACTGGATGACCTTTGACACTGGAAGAGGATGCTGGAGCCCTTGAGAGTGGCTCTGTGGCCTAAGGGCAGCGGGACTCCAGCTTGCAGGGGCCAGTGGCCCCTGGTGTGACCCTGAGACAAAGCTCCTCCTCACAAAGGCAAATGGTGGCTTACAGGCGGACAGGTCAAAGGTCAAGTTCATGGCACAGATGGCCCCATGGGAGTTCCCTGCACTACAGCAGGTGCAAGGGGAGGGGTGAGGCCCAATGACCTGTGCCTCCCTTCCCTCCAGCAGAGCTAGAGCCAAGGACATCTACAGCCAGAGATATAGTTATCAAACCGGTGCTCCCCAGGCCTCCTCCTGGCTCTTTCAGCTTTGCCATCCACTGGCACACAGCCGAAAGGGACCCCTCAGCATAGGCCCTCATCTCTGGTACTGAGCAGTCCCTGGACACCCTGCAGCCCATGGGCACAGTGACAGCATTTGGCAAGCAGGCCAGGATGTAAAACCAGAAAGCCTCCAGCCGCACTGACAGGCCCCTGCCCCTCTCCTCCCATTCCCAGCTGTTTGAGGAACCAATCACATCTCTATTTACAATATGGAACAGGAGTGTGGACTGGAAGCTGTGCTCCCCTGTGCTCTTCCATGCACCAAACCATTCAACGCTGGAACTTGCTCCCTGTGGTTTGTTTTGTTGAAATGTCTTTTGTTTCAAGGACAATAAAAGTTTCAATCAGGCAGGATTTGAATGTCATTCCTAAGATTCATATTTACAGGAGTCTACAGTAAAGCAACAGGCAGCTTGCTCCCTGTGCATGGAGACACCCTCTATCCTGTGCCCCAGGAACTCCACCAGCTCTGCATGGACCTTTGGTACCTAAGCCCTTCACCCCAGCCGTGTCCTCTGCACTCGGAGCCTGCCCAGCCCTCCCTGACACAGCAGTTCAGAGACGCACCCTCAAGTGCTTGGAAATTCCTTAGGTTTCACACACACACCCCCTGCCCGAAGACAATGAGTTAAAAAGGCCCTCCTGTCCCTTGCCCTGCCCTGTGTCCTCAGAGGCCAGTTGGGGCATCTCACCCGAAGGGGGGTGGAAACTGGGAACGACCTGGAGAACCGGCTGCAGGAGCGATAAAGCATTAAAGTTTCAAATGTTCCTCTGGAAACTGGCCTCAAGTGTCTGCTCCCCACCCCTTGGGCCCAGCCTCACAGGTAGATCTCCCTCTTAGCGGTTTGAGACGAGGGGGTGGTGGCTGGCTGGAAGTCCGAGGTCTGGGTGAGAGGAATTTCCTCCATAGGGGAGTCCTTGCAGGGCTCATGGCTACAGTTGGAGAAGGCACTGTATGTGGGGAGCAGGCGGAGGTTGGCCATTTTGGTGCTGCGCTCTTCCGAGAGTCTGGGGCTGCCATTCCCAACTTGCTCTTGACTCCCCCGTTCTTGGTAAGGCACAAAAGTGGAGAGTTTCAGGGCATTCTTGGGCCTGTGGTTCGGGGAGGACTGGCCAGGCATCCAGCAGGTGTCAGAGTGGCCGAACTCCGTGCATTCCCGGGTGCAGGTCCCAGTCATAGCAACATCAGGCAGAGGCCGGAGATCTGTGGAGAAGGGAAGTAAGAGTGGCGTTAACCCTATGTGCACAAGCCCCACAACATGGGAGCCACTGCTGGATCTGGATCCTAGGGCACCGCTCAGGCCTGACCCCCCCCCCCCCCCCAGCGCTAAGCACATGGCACTTTGGGGGACATTTCGCTGACAGGCTTCCTGTCGTGGCCTCTCCACTGGTGGCAGGGGCAAAAGGGACTCTAGAAGGTAATGTCCCATCTCTGTCATCCCGTCCCAGGCCAGAGAGGACTCCAGTACTTCTGGAAGCTCACTGCCATGAGGCCCTGGGGAAGGCTGAACAATCACAGTTAGCACGAGCACCCGGAGTCTGGCATGGGCCACAGGTCACAAATTGCCCTGTTCCTGGGAGGCAGAGGAACCCTATGGCACAGCCTGGCCCAAGGCCATAAAAAGGCATGGCAGAGCTGGGCCTAAAACCCGGGACTCGTGATTCCAGCCCCCATCTTCAAACTCACTGCTGCAGCAGCCCTGGGGCCGGGGCCCTTTCAGGCTCAGCACAGGCCCTGTTGCAAGTGTGGCCCTTACACCCAGGCTGACACAGCCATTGACCCAGCGCATCTGGCATTCACCTGCCCCCATGCTGCTACAGGGAATTCCCCAATCGACAGTGATGATATCGCAGAATGCCAGGAGGGAGATGAAAATAGCACACCAAAGGAGAGAAAAACTAGGTCACCAGCTACCACCCAACTCCAGGCACAGCCAGGCATTGTTGGGTACCAGCCATTCCTCCCCGGGCACAGTCAGGCATCCGTGGGGACCAGCCACTCCCACGACACAGGCACCAGCCAGGAATCACTGGGCACCAGCCACTCCCCACCCTGGGCACATCCAGGCGTACCTGGATATCAAGGCAAAGCCTGGTATACCTGAGTACCAACACACCCGCAACAAAGACAGACATCCCTCGGGCCACCCCCTGCCCCACTCTGAGGCAAAGTCAGACATGTTTTCATGTTCTCTCCACAGGTACTAATGCGGAGCGTGGACTAGATGATACATCTGAGGGAAGGGAACAGAAGGAGACTCTGCCGACTGGAAGGCATGAGATACACTGTCCTAGGGATGGGGGTTCCACAACTACCACTACCAAGAGAAGGAGGCGGGTGGTGGTGGTCGGGGACTCTCTCCTCAGGGGGACTGAGTCATCTATCTGCCGCCCCGACCGGGAAAACCAAGAAGTCTGCTGCTTGCCAGGAGCTAGGACTCACGATGTGATGGAGAGACTGCCGAGACTCATCAAGCCCTCGGATCGCTACCCCTCCTTGCTTCTCCACGTGGGCACCAATGATACTGCCAAGAATTACCTTGAGCGGATCACTGCAGACTATGTGGCTCTGGGAAGAAGGATAAAGGATTTTGAGGCGCAAGTGGTCTTCTCGTCCATCCTCTCCGTGGAAGGAAAAGGTCTGGGTAGAGACCGTCGAATCGTGGAAGTCAACGAATGGCTACGCAGGTGGTGTCGGAGAGAAGGCTTTGGATTCTTTGACCATGGGATGGTGTTCCAAGAAGGAGGAGTGCTAGGCAGAGACGGGCTCCATCTAACGAAGAGTGGGAAGAGCATCTTCGCAAGCAGGCTGGCTAACCTAGTGAGGAGGGCTTTAAACTAGGTTCACCGGGGGAAGGAGACCAAAGCCCTGAGGTAAGTGGGGACGTGGAATACCGGGAGGAAGCACGAGCAGGAGCGCGCGAGAGGGCAGGGGTCCTGCCTCATACTGAGAAAGAGGGACGATCAGCGAGTTATCTCAAGTGCCTATACACAAATGCGAGAAGCCTGGGAAACAAGCAGGGAGAACTGGAAGTCCTGGCACAGTCAAGGAATTATGATGTGATTGGAATAACAGAGACTTGATGGGATAACTCACATGACTGGAGTACTGTCATGGATAGATATAAACTGTTCAGGAAGGACAGGCAGGGCAGAAAAGGTAGGGGAGTTGCAATGTATGTAAGGGAGCAGTATGACTGCTCAGAGCTTAAGTATGAAACTGCAGAAAAACCTGAGTGTCTCTGGATTAAGTTTAGAAGCCTGAGCAAAAAGGGTGATGTCGTGGTGGGAGTCTGCTATAGACCACCGGACTAGGGGGACGAGGTGTACGAGGCTTTCTTCCGGCAACTCACAGAAGTTACTAGATTGCAGGCCCTGGTTCTCATGGGAGACTTCAATCACCCTGATATCTGCTGGGAGAGCAATACAGCGGTGCACAGACAATCCAGGAAGTTTTTGGAAAGTGTAGGGGACAATTTCCTGGTGCAAGTGCTGGAGGAACCAACTAGGGCAGAGCTCTTCTTGACCTGCTGCTCACAAACCAGGAAGAATAAGCAGAGGAAGCTAAAGTGGATGGGAACCTCGGAGGCAGTGACCATGACATGGTCGAGTTCAGGATCCTGACACAGGGAAGAAAGGAGAGCAGCAGAATACAGACCCTGGACTTCAGAAAAGCAGACTTTGACTCCCTCAGGGAACTGATGGGCAGGATCCCCTGGGAGAATAACATGAGGGGGAAAGGAGTCCAGGAGTGCTGGCTGTATTTTAAAGAATCTTTATTGAGGTTACAGGGACAAACCATCCCGATGTGTCGAAAGAATAGTAAATATGGCAGGCGACCAGCTTGGCTTAACAGTGAAATCCTTGCTGATCTTAAACACAAAAAAGAAGCTTACAAGAAGTGGAAGATTGGACAAATGACCAGGGAAGAGTATAAAAATATTGCTCGGGCATGCAGGAGTGAAATCAGGAAGGCCAAATCACACCTGGAGATGCAGCTAGCAAGAGATGTTAAGAGTAACAAGAAGGGTTTCCTCAGGTATGTTAGCAACAAGAAGAAAGTCAAGGAAAGTGTGGGCCCCTTACTGAATGCGTGAGGCAACCTAGTGACAGAGGATGTGGAAAAAGCTAATGTACTCAATGCCTTTTTTGCCTCTGTCTTCACATACAAGGTCAGCTACCAGACTATGGCAGTGAGCAGCACAGCATGGGGAGGAGGTGACCAGCCCTCTGTGGAGAAAGAAGTGGTTCGGGACTATTTAGAAAAGCTGGATGAGCACAAGTCCATGGGGCCGGATGCGCTGCATCTGAGAGTGCTAAAGGAGTTGGTGGATGTGATTGCAGAGCCATTGGCCATTATCTTTGAAAACTCATGGCGATCGGAGGAAGTCCCGGACGACTGGAAAATTTTTTATTTTTTTTTATGACGAGATAACTGGCTCTGTGGATGAGGGGAAAGCGGTGGATGTGTTGTTCCTTGACTCTAGCAAAGCTTTTGACACGGTCTCCCACAGTATTCTTGCCAGCAAGTTAAAGAAGTATGGGCTGGATGAATGGACTATAAGGTGGATAGAAAGTTGGCTAGATTGTCGGGTTCAGTGGGCAGTGTTCAATGGCTCCATGTCTAGTTGGCAGCTGGTATCAAGTGGAGTGCCCCAAAAGTCGGTCCTCGGGCCGGTTTTGTTCAATATCTTCATTAATGATCTGGAGGATGGCGTGGATTGCACCCTCAGCAAGTTTGCAGATGACACTAAACTGGGAGGAGAGGTAGATACGCTGGAGGATAGGGATAGGGTCTAGACTCTAGAGTAACCTAGACAAATTGGAGGATTGGGCCAAAAGAAATCTGATGAGGTTCAACAAGAACAAGTGCACTTAGGATGGAAGAATCCCATGCACCGCTACAGACCAGGGACCGAATGGCTAGGCAGCAGTTCTGCAGAAAAGGACCTAGGGGTTACAGTGGATGAGAAGCTGGATATGAGTCAACAGTGTGCCCTTGTTGCCAAGAAAGCCAATGGCATTTTGGGATATATATGTAGGGGCATTGCCAGCAGATTGATGGATGTGATCGTTCCCCTCTATTTGACATTAGTGAGGCCTCATCTGGAGTAGTGTGTCCAGGTTTGGGCCCCACACTACAAGAAGGATGTGGAAAATTGGAAAGAGTCCAGCGGAGGGCAACAGAAATGATTAGGGGACTGGAACACATGACTTATGAGGGGAGGCTGAGGGAACTGGGATTGTTTAGTCTGCGGAAGAGAAGAATGAGAGGGGATTTGATAGCTGCTTTCAACTACCGGAAAGGGGGTTCCAAAGAGGATGGATCTAGACTGTTCTCAGTAGTAGCTGATGATAGAACAAGGAGTAATGGTCTCAAGTTGCAGTGGGGGAGGTTTAGGTTGGATATTAGGAAAAACTTTTTCACTAGGAGGGTGGTGAAACACTGGAATGCGTTACCTAGGGAGGTGGTGGAATCTCCTTCCTTAGATATTTTTAAGGTCAGGCTTGACAAAGCCTTGGCTGGGATGATTTAGCTGGTGTTGGTCCTGCTTTGAGCAGGGGGTTGGACTAGATGACCTTCTGAGGTCTCTTCCAACCCTGATATTCTATGATTCTACGATCTCTGGGCACCAGGCACTCCCTCATATTGGGCACAACTAGGCATCTCTGGGAACCATCCACTTTCTCTACTGAGACACAGCCAGCCACCCCTGGGCACAGGTCACTCCCCTATTTCAGGCACAGCCAGGCATCGTTGGGCACCAGTCATTCCTCTGCACCAGGCACAAGCAGGCTGTACCAAGTACCAACTGCTCTTCTGCCCTTGGGACAGCCAAGTAATTGGAGTACCAGTCACAAAAATCCCCCCACCCCGCTCACCACTCTCCCAAATGGACACACACATACCAGGGCCTCCTTGCTCTACACACAGAACACCCCCCTCCAGAGCACCCACCTTGAGAGATCCAGTCAGGTGCTGGGACCCAAGGGAGGCTGCTTCGGCCTCTTTTATTTTTGTGCTGCAGGGATCACACAATACTACACACACTACTACCTTCTACCTCTCTGTCACTCTCACCCACAGACACTATACCACACACGTGATACCCGGCTCTCTCTCTCTCACACACACACACTGCCACAAACACTATTCTCTTCTGCCTCTGTCACCCTCCCCGCCACACACTATACCACACAGAGAACACCAACTCTCTCTCCCACACACACAGATACACACAATGCCCCCCACACTACTCCCTTCTGCCTCTCTGTCACCCTCACCCACAATACCACATACGCAACATCCTCTCTCTCTCACACACACACATCCACACAGTGCCACACACACACACACTACTCCTTTCTGCCTCTCTGTCACCCTCAGCCACACACACACTATATCTCGCACGCAACACCCCTGTCTCTCTCTCTCTGTCTCTCTCTCACACACACACAGTGACACACTACTACTTTCTGCCTCTCTGTCAGTCACACCCACACACATAATATACCACACACGCAACACCCTCACTCTCACACACACACATACACACAATGCCATACACACTACTCCCTTCTGCCTCTCTTTCACCCTCACCTACACACACCATACCACGCATGCAACACCCTGTCTCTCTCACACACACAATACTCTCTTCTGCCTCTCTGTCACCCTCATCCACACACACTATACCACATACACAACACCCCACCCTCTCTCACACACACACAGTGCTACACACTACTCCTGTCTGCCTCTCTGTCACTCACCCCCCACACTATACCACACTCACAACACCTCCCTCTCTCTCTCACACACACACGTAATGCCATACACACTACTCCCTTCTGCCTCTCTGTCACCCTCACCGCCAACACATTATACCACAAATGCAAGCCCCCCCCCACACACATACACAGTGTCACACACACTACTCCCTTCTGCCTCTCTGTCACCCTCAGCCACACACAGTATACCATGCATGCAACACCCCCCTCTCTCACACACAAACACACACACACACAATGCCACACACACTACTCCCTTCTGCCTCTGTCACAGACAATACCACACCACCCCTTTTTCACACACACCATACCCGCAGCACCCCTCTTTCACACACACATACACACAATACCACATACACCAAACCACCACACACTATGCCACACACACAACACACCCTCTCTCTCACATATACACAAACACACAATACCACACACACTACTCTTCTGCATCTGTCATCCTCACCCACACACACTATACCATGAATGCAACACCCCTCTCTCTCTCACACACATACATACAACACAATGCCAGATACACTGTTCTCTTCTGCCTCTGTCACCCTCACAACCACACACTATACCGCACACAAAACACCCCCCTCTCTCTCTCACACGCACACATACACACAATGGCACACACACTACTCCCTTCTGCTTGTCACCCTCACCCCCACACACTATACCACACACACAACACCCCCCCATGCACACACCTACACACAATGCCACACACACTATTCTCTTCTGCCTCTGTCACCCTCCCCACCACACACTATACCACACATAGAACACCCCTCTCTCTCTCACATACACACACATAAACACAATGCCAAACACACTACTCCCTTCTGCCCCCTGTCATCATCACCCATAAACACAAAATCATGCATTCAACACCCCCACCTCACACACACACACACACACAATGCCTCACACACTACACCCTTCTGCCTATGTCGCCCTCACCCCCACACACTATAGCACACATTCAACACCCCTCTCTCTCTCTCTCACACACACACACATATACACAATGCCACGCACTAGTCCCTTCTGCCTCTTTGTCATCCTCACCCACACACACTATACCACACACGCAACACCCCTCTGTCTCTCACACACACACAATGCCACACACACTACTCCCTTATGCCTATCTGTCACCCTCATCCCCACACAGTATACCACGCACACAACACCCCTCTCTCTCACACACATAAACACATGCACACAATGCCATGTACACTTCTCCCTTCTGCCTCTGTGTCACCCCCACCCAGAACACATTATACCACACACATTACACCTCCCTCCCTCTCTCTCTCTCTCTCTCTCTCTCTCTCTCACACACACACTATGCCACATATACTACTCCTTTGCACACAATACCACACACACTATATTCCTATGCACACAACATTCCTTTCTCACACACACACATTACATCCTCCACACATTATAACACACATAATACACCCCCACACTATACATCTCTCACATACACTGTGCTATTGAGAATACACCCACACACAGTATACCACAAATACACTCCACATACTCAACACCACACACAATACACCTCAAAACATGTGGGATTCCCCTCAATATGCTACATTGCAGACACACAATACTGTTCCAGAGAGACACAATATATCTACAATACTGCCACCACACACAAACTCATCACACATACACAATTTTTCCAACACGTAAATACATGACACAATGCTGGATATACACATCAAATACTCAGACACAATATCCACACATATACACAATGCTCTCCCCATCTCCTCCACAGACACCTTATACCCCCCCGCCACAGAAATACTTCATCGCACAGATAACAGTATCCCCCCCGCATCACCCTCCCCCAATACTCTGGTTCCCAAGGAAAACACTGTACTGTACAAACATGTGCACAGTGCTTCTCCACCCTGGAAACACCATCTCTCTCTCTCTCTCTCTCTCTCTCACACACACACACACACACTACTCCCCCACAGAAACAGGCATACAATACCACAATTTGGGGGAGAAAGACCACCCAGCTGCCACATCGCCAGCCCAGAGCCTGGAGTGTGACACAGCATCAGACATTGCTGCTACCCACAGAGGGTCCCCATGTCACTCCCACTGTCATGAATATAAGGGGAAGGGTAGTAACCTTTGTGTATGATTGGCAGCTGTACTGGATTGCCTTTCCTGTAAAGGGTTAAGCAGTTCAAATAACCTACTTGGCACCTGACCAGAAGGACCAAAGAGGAAAGAAGATACTTTCAAATCTGGGCGGGGGAAGGATTGTTTTGTTATTCTGTGTGTTGTTCCCTCTCCGGAGGGAGAAGCCAAGCAGACACAATATCTCCTAAAACATATACCTGGAATAATCCATCTAAAACCACAGAAACCGTGAGTAGGGCAAGGAAATGCGTTATGTTATCTCTTGTTTTGGCTTGTGAATTTCCCTATGCTACAGAGGTAGTTTCATTCCTGTTTTTGTAACTGTGAAGCTGAGCCCAGAGGGGAATCCTCTGTGTTTTAAATCTTTTATTACCCTGTAAAGTTATCTTCCATCCTGATTTTGCAGGTGTTATTCTTTTACTTTTTTCTTTATAATAAAAGTTCTTCTTTTAAGAACCTGACTGATTTCTGTGTCCTAAAGACAAAGGGTCTGGTTGAGCTCACATTGCTAAGGCAACTGGTTGGTATTTTAGTCTCAAGCCTCCCCAGAAAAGGGAGTAAAGGGGCTTGGGGGGATATATTGGGAGGATAGAGATTCCAAGTGACCCTTCCCTGAATTTTTGTGTAAATCACTTGGTGGTGGCAGCAATATACCGTCCAAAGACAAGGAAAGGAATTTGTGCCTTGGAGAAGTTTTAACTTAAGCTGGTAGAATATAAGCTTAGGGGGTCTTTCATGTGGGACCCCACATCTGTACCCCAGAGTTCAGAGTGTGTGGGGGGAACCCTGACACCCACTGAAAATCCTTCCCAGTTCTACTGTGCCCCAATGCCCCTCTCCAATAGTTCCCTTCCATTGCCTGCTCCCCTTCCCACAGCTCTGAGCTCTTGGGCACAGTGACTCTTGAGTCTCCTTTGGCACTGGTTTCACACAAGGCAGACTTCCTACAAGTAAATACATAAGTTCACTAAGCCAGGTCCCTGCAGAGCCAGGGCTCAAAATCTGAGCTCAGTGAGTCAGGGGATTGGCGCCACGGATCAGGTGCTGGGGATCAGAGGTCAAGCCACACAGATTGGATGCTTGAGTCAGAGGTGAGAGCTATGGGGCTAGGAGCTGCAGGTCAGACAGAAGGGGTTGGCACTGGGAGTCAGAGTTAATGATCAACTGATGTTCTTGAAATTGTTGTTTTTCAAAAATAACCCATCAGCCACATCACTCCACACCTGCAGCTCCTGAAATAACTGTGTCACCCCCACTGGTTTCCGGCAGCTCCTGCAGTGACTGCCTCATCCCCATTGCTTCCCACCCGCTGCTCCGGCATCACCTGTGAGGTCCCCATAGTGCCCCCCACACCACTGGCTACTGCAGCGGCTATATCATGCCCACAGGTTCTCCCTCCTCCAGCTCCTGTATCGGTTATGTCACCCCCTGTGAGTCCCTCCCATGGGCAGGGAGGGTCCTCCCATGGCCCATCCCCTGGGGCACATTAGCTGCAACACCCTGGTGGAAGCCGTGCGGACATACCTCGGTTCAGAGCCCCATTCACAGCCTGTTCCGCTCAGGGGACTCTAATGAGGAGCAGAAAAAGGACGACAGGGTCACATCATTATACAGCCCCCAGTCTACACACTCCCCACAGGACCCTGCCAGCCCCTCCAGCCTGCATCAGCCCGCCCCTGCATCTCTGCCTTGCACCTCTTTCCCCCAGGCTTCCTCTGATATCTGCTGTCTTTACCAGTGACTTGGGAGTCACTGGCCCCACCCTAGGCTCCACCAGACTATCTGGCCAACACTGCCCAATGAGGTCTTCCTCTAACCTACTCCTCCTAACCTGCTCCAGTTCCCCCAGACCTCCACTGGCCCCGGCTCAGCCTCTGCAGAACCCCAGCCAGTACCACCCACCTCCATCCTTCACTAGTCCCCTGTCTTTGCCAGCCCTTCCCCACCACTGACCATGCCAGCTCCCAGCCTCTGGATCTCTCTCCTTTCCCACCAGTTTTTCTTCACTCTCCACAACTCTGCTTTCTTTCTGCCACCCTCCATATACAGAGCCCTACCAAATTTATGGTCCATTTTAGTCAATTTCACAGTCATAGGATTTTAAAATTTGTAAATTTCATGATTTCAGCTATTTACATCTAAAATTTCATGGTGTTGTAATCATAGGGGTCCTGACACAAAAAAAGTTGTGTGTGTGGGGTGTGGGGGGGGGGGGGGTTGCAAGATTATTGTAGGGGGGGGTTGCAGTACTACCACCCTTACTTCTGCACTCCTGCTGACGGTGGCGTTGTCATCAGAGCTGGGCAGCTGGAGAGCGGCGGCTGCTGGCAGAGAGCCCAGCCTTGAAGGCAGAGCCACTGCCAGCAGCAGCACAGAAGTAAGGGTGGCACGGTATGGTATTGCCACCCTTACTTCTGCGCTGCTGTCTGCAGAGTTGGGCCCTCAGTCAGCAGCCGCCACTCTCTGGCCATCCAGCTCTGAAAGCAACGCAGAGGTAATGGTGGCAATACCAAGTCCCCTGTAAAATTCTTTATGACCCCCCTGCAACTCCCTTTTGGGTCAGGACCCCCAACTTGAGAAAGGCTGGCTTCTCCCATGAAATCTGTATAGTATAGGGTAAAAGCACTCACAAGACCAGATTTCACGGGCTGTGACTCATGTTTCATGGCCACGAATTTAGTAGGGCCCTATCCATATCCAACTCCATCACCAAGCAACTCCCTGCCCCAGAGCTTGGCACTGGAGTTAGATTAGGGCAGGGGACACCTGACTAGTAGAGCACAAAGCCCTTCATGCACAAAGACACAGGCACTCCCACATCAGACATGGACATGCCCACTCACACTCATGGACGTGCCCAGTCACACACTCACAGATGTGCACAATCACACAAACATGCACATTCACACAAAGGGACATGCACAGTCACACGCTCACACTCATATATACTCACACAGACATGCATACATACATGCATGGGCAAACGTGCTCTCACACACCTGGATGTGAACACTCACACACACAGACGGGCACAAATAAATGGACACATCACAGCGATGTCCATTTGCTCAGCTGCAAAATCAGGTGCTCACCCATGACAGGTGCTAATGACAAAAGGCTTGCACATGCCCATATGAAAACATCTGATTTGCCCATGCAGGCCCGAGGAGCTCAACTGCACTTAGGAGGGAGGGGAGTCAGTGTTGGTATGGGCCATGCTATTTCCAGGGGCTGTGCATCTGAGTGTGTCTGTGCATGGAAGGGAGTAAAAATTTGGGACTCAGTGAGGGCTACATGTGTTTGTGCAAAACCTTTTAGAAATCCCTATAAATGCCCAGAGAAATGGACAAGTAGTGCTTTCAGCATTGTGTAAGCTGGGGGGTCAGGCAAGCTGAGGGGGACTGCAGTGGGGGGGCATAAGGGAGCAGTAAGCAACGATAAGGGGGAGGGAAGCAAGTAGGGCCAAGAAAATCAGGGGGTAGGATGGAGGGAAGAGGAAGCTGAGCCACTGACGGAGGGTGCAGGGAGAGATGAGTGGGACAATAGGAAAGTGCCTGGGGATAGGTAGTGAAAGGCAGGCAGCTGGCAGAGGGAGGCAGGCTGAGAGAGCTGGCATGGCAACATTATGGAGAGGGACAAGAAGTGGGGTGGGTAGCGGTGGTGAAGCACAGCAGGGGAGTACATTGGGGAGAGTCAAGAGACTGTTGCGAAGGGGTGCACGGGTGAGCATGGCAAGGTGCTGTGCATGTGCAGAAGGGACGGGGTAGGGCAGTGGGGCAGGGAGCATGGCAAGGAGGGAAGGGATTGAAGAGTAGGGTAAGGAGGGATGGGGGAAATGAGGTGGGAGTATGGGAGAACATGGTGCAGCAGCAAGGGACGATAACTGTGGCGTGGGAGGGACAATGGACCGCGGTGGAGTGGGTGAGCACAGAAGAGTGTGGGAGAGCAAAGAGGAATGGCAGTGTGGTGGGCTGGGAGTGTGCAGAGAGGGAAATGGGGGGGTATGGCAGGGTGGGAAGGGGCAGGGAAGCACAGCAGTGGAGGCAGCATTGGGGGAACACAATGAGATGTGGGATTCACATATTTTAAGAGCAGGAGGGACCAACAGATCATCCAGTCTGACCTGCTGTGTAGCCCAAGCCAGAGAACTTCAACCATTCATTCCTGTACTGGGCGCAGTAACTTGTGTTTGACTAAAGCATCTTCCAGAGAGGCAGTCAGCTGGATATGAAGACATCAAGAGCTAGAGAATACACCAGTTCCCTTGGCAGTTTGTTCTCAGGGTTAATCACCTTCATAGCTAAGATGATATGCCTTATTTCTAATGTGAAAGTCTTGCTTCAGTTTCCAGCCATTGGCTCTTGCACTCTTTCTCTGCTAGAAATATTTTCATCCCATGAAAGCACTTACACAGTGAAATCATAGCCTGTAAGTCTTCTTTTTGAAGCGCACAGATTAAGCTCCATCAGCGTCTCACTCCAGCATCTTCTCCAGCCCTTGCTGTGTGAAAGCACAGCTGGGACTATTTCTAACATGCCTCCCCTTAGGGCAGAGAACAGTACAGTGATTCCCGGAACAGCCACCCAAACACTGCACTACACTTCAAAAATGTGCCTTGGTGTTGATTCCCTCAGAAAGGGCTCTTACGAAAATGATGAACACTCAGGTTCCTGCTTCCCTGGGAACCGCACCTCAACAGCAATGAACCTTCGAGGTATCACTTCCCTACAGCCCTGCTCCCCTGGGCAACACACCCCTATGGCAATAAACCTTTGTGGTGTAACTTCTATACTGCCCTGCTCCCCTGCGCACTGCACCCCTATGGCAATGAGTATTTGCGGTATCACTTCCCTGCAGCACTGCACCCCTGGGAAACACACCCCAATGGCAATGAACTTTCATGGCATCAATTCCCTACCACTCTGCTAGACTGGGCACTGCGCAATGAACCGTTGCGGTATCACTTCCCCACTGGCCTGCTGCCCTGGGAACCGCAACCCTATGGAAATAAATTTTTGCTGTACCACTTCCATAAGGTCCTGCACCCCTGGTTACAGCACCTATGGCAATGAACCGTCACTTCCCTAGCGCCCTGATCCCTTTGGCAACAAACCCCTGTGGCAATAAACCTTGGTGGCATCACTTTAGAATCTGCTAAACATACTGCTCCCCTGCATACTGTGGCAATGAAACTTTGCGGTATCACTTCTATACTGTCCTGCTCCCCTGCACCCCGAGGACAAAGAAACTTTGCAGCGTCACTTCCTTAGCACCCTGCTCCCCTGCGCACCGCACACCTATGGCAATGAATCTTCGGGGGAACACTTCTCTACTGCTGTACTGCCATGGGCACTGCACCCCTAGGAAATGAACCTTTGCGGTATCACTTAACCTAACACCCTGCTCTCCTGGGCACCGCACCCCTATGGAAATGAACCTTCACAGGAATACTTCCCTACTGCCCTGCTTCAGTAGGCACAGCATAGCTATGGCAATGAACCACGACATCAATTCCCTATGTCCCAGCTCCCCTGGGCACCGCACCCCTATGGAAATGAACTTTGGGGGTATCACTTCCCTTCATAGAATCATTGTATCATAGAATATCAGGGTTGGAAAGGACCTCAGGAAGTCATCTAGTCCAACCCCCTGCTCAAAGCAGGACCAATCCCCAACTAAATCATCCCAGTCAGGGCTTTGTCAAGCCTGACCTTAAAAACTTCAAAGGAAGGAGATTCCACCACCTCCCTAGGTAATGCATTCCAATGCTTCCCCACCCTCCTAGTGAAAAAGTTTTTCCTAATATCCAACCTAAACCTCCCCCACTGCAACTTGAGACCATTACTCCTCATTCTGTCATCTGCTACCACTGAGAACAGTCTAGCTCCATCCTCTTTGGAACCCCCTTTCAGGTAGTTGAAAGCAGCTATCAAATCCCCCCTCATTCTTCTCTTCCGCAGACTAAACAATCTCAGTTCCCTCAGCCTCTCCTCATAAGTCATGTGTTCCAGTCCCCATATCATTTTTGTTGCCCTCTGCTGGACTTTGTCCAATTTTTTCACATCCTTCTTGTAGTGTGGGGCCCAAACCTGGACACACTACTCCAGATGAGGCCTCACCAATGTTGAATAGAGGGGAACAATCACGTCCCTCAATCTGCTGGCAATGCCCCTACTTATACAGCCCAAAATGCCATTGGCCTTCTTGGCAACAAGGGCACACTGTTGACTCATATCCAGCTTCTCGTCCACTGTAACCCTTAGGTCCTTTTCTGCAGAACTGCTGCCTAGCCATTCGGTCCCTAGTCTGTAGCGATGCATGGGATTCTTCCTTCCTAAGTGCAGGACTCTGCACTTGTTCTTGTTGAACCTCATCAGATTTCTTTTGGCCCAATCCTCTAATTTGTCTAGGTCCCTCTGTATCCTATCCCTACCCTCCAGCGTATCTACCTCTCCTCCGAGTTTAATGTCATCTGCAAACTTGCTGAGGGTGCAATCCACGCCATCCTCCAGATCATTAATGAAGATATTGAACAAAACCGGCCCGAGGACCGACTCTTGGAGAAATC